ATAAAAATATGTTTTTGTGGAAAAATAGATGTAAAATGTTTATTTTACTATTGTTTTCAGTTGTTAAAAGCACATTTGTACAAAAAGAAAGCTTTTTTTTCATATTGTATATTTTGCTCAATGATGAACCATATTTAACACAAAAACAACTTTAAAAAGTTCTATCTGAAAATACCTTTAGACTATTAAGCCAAACTAGCCACCTCACTGAACAGGGTGATATCCAGCGTGACAGCAATACATTAATGCCATGTCATGAATGAACCATGGTTTTATGTATATCTGGGCCATGTGCACTCATATTAGCTACAGGTGCTTTGACATGCACCACACAATTAATAATGTTATTTGTGCTTGCAGAACAGTTCGATCATTGACAAACGTTTGTGTAACTAAATGTCCAATTTACGTCATCTTGGTCAACAGTGAAGCCCAGTTAGCATCCAAACATTTCAGGATGAGCTAGTCCAGAATGCATTAGCTGTCATTAATTGAATTCAGATATCAAGAGTAAAGTGCAGAGGAGACAAGCCAGTCAATACAGATGGATGGAATAGGCTGTGTTTTCTGTCACCAATTGCTTGTTTCAGTATCAGTATTTAACCTAATGTTGTCACCATCCTTTCAGTGAAAAGAAATGTCACATTGAGGAATGAGGACTCAAATGCAGACACAGGCTAGCCAGGCAGGTAAAGGTAAATGATTTATTTAAACCACACTGGGAGAAAGCAGAGGCTTAGTTTGAATCCAGGTAAACAAAACTGAGCAGGAAAAAACAGAGGTGAGGTGAGAAGCTGGGGACAGAGCCATACAAATAGTCCAAACTAATAAATTCAGGGGAAAAAGTAAAAGGAAGCGTCCAAACTCCAAACAAGATTCAAACATGAAAAAAATCTTACAGAGGATGATGCAGTTCATGTTCAGTGGTTTAATCTTGAAATCATTCCCCAAATCAACATTTATTTTAAAATGGTCTCTTTTTTCATTTTAGCAGTGTCATTCTATGGTGATGGCTACATCCACCTGCAGACAGTGGAAGCATCAATCCAGACATTGCTCCATGTCCGATTTCGAACCTCCAATCAGGCAGGGCTGCTGTTTTTGGCAGCAGGACCAAGAGATTTCTTGCTGTTGGAGCTCACCTCTGGGCACCTCCAGGTAAGCTATTGCATGTTTTAGGGTAGCTTGTCAAAAGTGACTGCCAGGAATCTATTCATGGATGGAAGCAAGACAAATTTGTTATTTGTTCATTTTAAATGACATTGATAGAGGAAATTTATCAATGCATGTTTTGACAAAGGAAAGACAAGCTACAGATTAGCTGAAGTAAAGCTTGTCTATAAGCTCTCATATAAAGATGCTTCAAACTTTCAAAACATGAGAAAAGAATGTCCCTTGAGCAATTTTAGTTCATATATATTGGCATTTACTATCCTGAGGAGAGCCAGAGAGAAGACTGAATATGCACACATGGTGTCGGATTTCTTACAGCGGGAAAAAAAACAAACCCTTTGGCACTGACTTCATTTCAGAACAAGTTCCTTCATGACCAAGGTTAGGAGAGAAGACCACAACTGTTTAAAAACATAAAGTACATGCCAAGGGAGCTACTCATAAAAGTGTTTGGTTGCATTTATCTTTGTGGGATGGTTTGTTAATCTACAATTAGCAACCCACTTGATTCTGTTTTTTCAAATGTGCTTAAGATCTTATCATCATGTAATGTTATGTGTTTTGCTTTTCTTCCAGTAGAATTAAAAAGACTTTCATTTCTAGTGTTTTGACTGACATATTCAAATTCCTCCATCCTTCCTTCTTATCACCTTTCACCTTGATTTTACTCACTCTTT